ACTGTAATTAGAATTTGCAGCAATCTCAAAGATGTCATTTTGGTTAAAGGATCCCCCAAAAGGCAGATGTTTATGATTTGATTGTCACATGAAATCTGAAACATCTGTTGAAAAGGTGAACAGGGGAGGATTGTTAAAAAAATGCCACTGTGCATATGCTTGCTAGTTAAAGTTTCTTGCTGAGTATTTCATAGAATTATCCTCAAATCCTAGGTTTGGGTTTCTTGATCATTTTTGTATAGCTGCAACTCTTGGGAAGTTTTCTTTTACAATGGAAAGATTCTAATCAAAGTCATCTGGGATTAAATTTCTTGGCATGTAATGTCTCTTATGGTGAGCAAACAGTTGTGCCCAAAGTGTATTTTAAGGGTCCTTAAAGTTACCACAGGTTACTTATTTGCATGACTATAAATTTCTAGAATGAAAAACACTGTATGTATAACATACTGACAGGATCGCTTTACATTTTGATTTCTTTATCATAATTTGATCAAAGAAGGGAAGAAATGGGTGGGGAGAGAACAATCAAAGTGCCAATATTTGTGTTGAAAATATTTTACAGATTACATGCATTTTCTATATGCCATTTTTATTGACTAATCATTTGCATGGTATTGTGGTGGCTCACAAGTAAAATAATAAAACATTTTTTTAAAAAACCAAGCAAAGAAAAATCTAAAAGCAAATTTGCATTGGAGCTGAAAATGCACACCATATATGGACAGTTGAATGCTAATAGGTTTGCTTGGGTTTTAAGTTGGAAATTGCTCCACATGTTGTGCTGAAGGGTCATTTTTATTGAAATAATAAATCAGTGTATGGATGCTAAATACACAGCTTGGATTTGGGCATATTTCCTCAGGAATAAATCCCTTTGACCTTGTTGGAAGAAAATTTCTGAGTGAAATTTGCTAAGTGTGCATTTAAGGATATTCATTTCATTACAATCAGAATTCCATCAAGGCAAATTTGTTTTAGAATTTATAGGTATTTTTTTTCCTCCTCTAAACAATTCTGTGTTGTTGACATGACTCTGGGTCAATCCTGAAATTCCTGGAAGGCATTTTATCAGGGGATATATTATTCCCAATCATGACTGTTGGGTTTTTTTTTCTTTCAGTTTATCAGAATTTTATATATTGCAATAGATATGTTAGCTCAATTCCCATACTTCCAAGCTATATGTGTATCAATAGCAGAATAGAAGCAACAACTACCAGACTTTACACACAAGGATTTCTTACAGCGGATATCTGGGTAAAATTTGGTTTTGAAAATGGAAGAATTGCTCCTTTGCCCATTTTTGTCATACCTAAGAATTGTTGAACTATAAGGGCTATGAATTTGGAAACAGTTGAATAGATGAGCTGAGCCAGAATATTAAAAGTTGTGCATGCATCTTTGTTTTGAAAATAGTGAACCTGTTTGGAGACAGGTTTGCTATTTTCAAAACAAAGATATATGTTTGTTTCCTTGCTGTTTCCATGTTGTCTTGGATATTTGATACCCTATCTAAGAAGTCCATTGAATACAGATGTGTATGCACATCCAAATGCACATCTTGGCATCGAAAAAGTTAACATACCGTTTGGGGGGAAATCTGTTAGTTTTGCAATAGTTCTGTACACTAGCAAAATAATAAACTTCTTAGACACTGGATGCCAAATCCATAAAAAATCCCACATACAATGGGAATACTATTTTAATTTGTAGTTTTGTTTATAGGAGTTCTATGGTATATCATGACGGAGGCAAAAGTTCTTAGTATTTGGTTCTTAAGCAATGGGTTGTGAGAGGTCCACTATTTCCCTTATCTAGCAAACATGTTCCATTTGCTTCATGGAATGTGGTTACACAAGTATCATAGAGACTTATTGGACATTCCCTCTGATGCAATTAGCGATGTCTGGGACAAGTTGCTACCCTCCTCCACATATAATGGTTTGCAGCACTCTGTGAACTTCCTTTTAAATTATATTGAAAAGGGTCACAAAGGGGTAAGAATGTGTGTGTACCAAAAGAAGAATTAGTTTTGCCCACACCCCCTTTATTATATTTGAGCTATCCGTTTTGAAAGAGTTTGGTACATTATTTAACTTTCTAAACATACAGAAATGTACTCAGCATCTCCATTCTGCCCTGATTCTGCACAGAAATTTCAAACAGCGTTCAGCAGAAATATATTCGGAGAATATATATTCCAACCTACTTTCTTTGCTGGGGTATATAGTCGTTATATAATATACTGTTAAGTCATTATATATAGCAGTGTGCAGCAGCAGCCAAAAAAGCCAACACTATGCTACCTTGCATTAACAGAGGGATAGAATCAAAACCACATGAAATATTAGTACCATTTTATAAGGCTTTAGTAAGACCACACTTGGAATACTGCATCCAGTTTTGGTCACCATATTATTTTAAAAATATAAAGACTCTGGAAAGAGTGCAGAAAAGAGCAACCAAGTTGATTGCAAGGGTGGAGGCTAAAACATACGGAGAACGGTTGCAGGAATTGGGTTTGTCTAGTCTAGTGAAAATAAGGGCTGGGGTGACATGATAGCAGTGTTCCAATATTTGAGAGCCTGCCAGAAAATAAAGGGAGTCAATCTATTTACCAAAGCCAAGACAAGAAACAATGGATGGAAACTAATAAAGGAGAGAAGCAACCTAGAACTAAGAAGAAATTTCCTAAAACAGAGAACAATTAACCAGTGGAATGGCTTGCCTCCAGAAGTTGTGGGTGCTCTCCATCACAGGAGGCTTTTAAGAAGAGACGGGACAGCCACTTGCCTGGAATGCTACAAGGTCTCCTGCTTGAGCGGGGCATTTTACTGAAGACCTCCATGGTCCCTTCCAACTCTGTTATTCTGTTAAAAAATTAAAAGTTTAGAATAGTGAGAGAAATCTATAAGGAACTCCTCCCAAGAGCAAGAATTTTACACCCTGTGAAGTTTGTTCTGTATCTCCACCCATTGAAATGGCATAGGGAGCTACTGGTGTTGAGTTAAAGCATATAGGAATGACAAAGAATGAAATGGACCTGTAGCATAGAATGGCTTTGGTGAAGACAATTCTTAGCATCTTATAATGCTTGAATATACAAGAACCTTGCTTTGAGTTATTTGGATAATTCTCATAATCAGTCTGCTTTTTCAAGATTCAAGATGATACCGTACTATCGGCATTGTTTCCCCTTCCTACCGCCATTTGTGTGTTTATTTCTTTGGATGTAAGTTTCACTATTATTCTATGTTTAAGTGCTTAAAAACCAGGTGTTTAAAAACTGCAGCTTCAGAAAAGTGGCTGAACCTTAATGCTTTTTTAGTCTTGATTTTACGAAGTCAGGCCTTATGATTTTTTAAACCCTGTTTTATGGTTTATTGGGTTCTAGCTAATTATGATTTCTTCACCATTATTTAAGCAACCAGTGTTCTAGTGTAAACTAGTTCCAGTCTTACTAAGACAACTAAAAAGTAAAGAGACTTAGGCAAACTTTGGATTAGTGCTCCTATCCTATCAGGAATTGGATGGTTGCACATTTCTTTAGGTTGTCACTTAAGAGACTGGCATTCCATTGTACTATCTTCCAGAAATAATGTACTACAAGCACCAGATTTTCCAGCTGGTGGGTTAATGTTGTAAGTCTCAACTTCTTGATTCCCAGTTTGTTAGCTCTTAGGAGGATAGTAGTTCTCCACGCATATTTAGTTTGGCCTTTCCATCTTTTGGTGATGAGACCGTCTCATGAGTAAGGAGTATTTGTTTCCCAAGTTTTTTGAATCAGCATTGAGAAAACATCATTACTTCATATTGATTACACACTGAACTTTAACTTTGCATTGATGGGTTATGGCAAGCATCGTACCCTGGACTAGCTGACTTTACTTCAAGAGACTCTTCACCCGAGATGATGTGGTGCAAATTTGCTTTGAGGATAAGCAAAGGATGAAAGCTTGATGACTTTCAAAAATGCTGTCAGTATTACAGTCCAATGTATGCTTTGCATCACTTTCTGCTCCAGACTGTACAAATCTTGGAATCTCTTCAGTGTTATTCATGCAACTTTTAAGTCATCCATGTTTCTGTAGCAACCCCCTTTCTCATCAGTTTCTTTACTTGACCTGTTATTATTTCTTGCAATATGTCTTATCAGTTCTACAAGGTTTTTGGATAACAAAGATCTGTGTATCTGCCTGAATACTTCACAACCTGGACTCCACTTCCAGTAGTGATAAAAGGCACAGTAGAGATGGTAACACATTTCTGCTTCTGCTGATTTACAGTGAGATAGTTTTTTTCTCCTCCATTGACCATGTGGCTGTAGAAACACAAGGCTTTAGAAAGGAATAGCCCATCCTATTCTGATGGTATGAGAAGGCTGAGAAATTATACATAAGTATATAAAATTGAATTGATTCAAGACTAGATGTAAGATACCTTATCCCTTGGCTGTAGTAAACTAAGAGTGAAAAATTAGTAAATTCAGCTGTAAGACATTTGAGTCTGTGGGAAAGATGAAAATAAATGCTTTGGATTAGATTTAAAAATAGATCTTCTGCAAGGTCTTGCTTAATTAACTATTGTTAATTAAACCATGTTTTTCTAGAGATGAAAAAGGGTGATTATACTCTTAAGGCATGTTTTAATGAGGTTAGATATTTGTTTCTATCATAATCTATCATTCCTAGTATTGCTTTGCAAGCAGGGGAATTTATAAGATATTTTAAAAATTGGAGGTATAACATTCAATTAAGTCACTCGTATTTCAACCAAGGTAGTTTTATTAAGAATATGAGAACATTATTTGCTCTGCAGTCATAAGCTCTTTCTCTGACAGAGGGGGCCAAAGGAATATTCATGATTTCCAGGGAGCGACTGATGTAAATCTATTATATTAACTAAACCTCATCCCATAATAAATATCAGCCTTTAAGACTGAAGGATTGTTGTTGTTTCTAGATAATAGCACTGCCAATTTCAAGAGGAAAAATTAAGCTTCCCAATGAGACAAGTGTATGAATGTGATCTCAGCAATAACTATTTAGATTTGTAGCCAAATCACTAATGGCTCTTAAAAACTTAATTTTGACCAGAGGAGGAAATAATAATAAAAAAATACTACTTAAATTCTACTTTCAAAGAAAGCACAACTTTCCTTGATGTGCTTATATTTTCAGGGGATATATTCTCTGGTCATCTCTCATGTTGTGAACTAAGAACTCTATGCTTTATTCTGAAATATATAAATATTGGTGACCTAATTCTAGGAAATCACTGCAGATGATTGAAAAATATACATATGATCTTATGCTTCAAATTTTATCCCTGGTACTGCAGAAAGCCTGTGAGATGAAGTGAGAAGTTTAGAAATCCTGACTTCAGAGATTGAAGTTAGATATCAAATGTTTGTACTTTCTGAGAGATTGAAAAAAAAAACACCTAAATCTCTCTCAAACATTTTCAGTGTTACCTATGGCTGCTCTTACTTATTCTGTACTTTTCCATTTACTTTCACATCCTCAAATCCTAGACTGAGAATAAATATCACATCAATATCTGAAAGTAAATGTTGAATATTTTAGTGATAATTGGATTTTCATTAGTGTGAAGGAATTGAGATTTTGGAGGAGTAGATAAAAGTACAAAATATTTATTTGGATTTGTTTTGTTTATTTAAAATATTTATATAGCTATCCATCTTATAACCAACTCTGAGCAGCTCCCACTCAAAGTTTCCTAAAAGAGTTAAATAGATGATAATTAACAAAGGAGTAGAGATATCTAACCACCCCCGTGACTCTGAAAGAATTTCCTGTTCACATCTAGCCACATCATAATACTTAAAACTAATAAAATAATTTAGGGCAATATATCTCTCACATTTAACCTCACTTCAAATCTTGGAAGAATTAGGCTGGAACAACAGCTGTTCCAAAGTCATCAAGAGCTCACCAGATATATGAGCTCAGTCTGATCTTTGCACACTAATACGCTGGGCTTTACATTTGGGTATCTTCAGATCCCATATATGAATAGTTTATGCAAACTGAAATTTAGCCTTTTACCTACTAGATTACATTTCCCATAGCATAGATGTGAACTTTAATACAACACTTCTGGATTGGGAACTTCAAAGAAAATTGACAGCACTAGAAACCACTTGCATGAAATCATGCTATTATAAAGTAAAAATTCATTGGTGCTATCCATATTCTTAAGAGCTCAGCAACATGTGGGCATAATCCTTAAAACATACCTATACATTTGAACAAACCTATTCTCAGAATGAAGATGGATATATGATGCCACTAGGTACCAATACATACAGTACATGATGAAACTAAGTATTAGGGCAGTGTTTCTCAACACTGTGGAATTCTGGGAGTTGTAGTTCATACATCTTAAAGTTGCTAAGATTAAGAAACTATGTATTAGGAGAATGGAAGCTCCTTGCTGTCTGCTGTTGCTGAACTACAATTCCCAGGGACCTCAGGGGCAGGTATGAAGAATGCTGAAAACTGCAATTCAGGGACATCTGTAGAACCACAAATTCTCAACTCTTGCAACTGAACTGAAATAATAATTTAATAAACTATAAACGCCTTAGTCTGAGCTTCACCTACTGTTTCCAGAAGGCTTCCAAGAATAAAATACAATGTTGTGACTACTAGTTGCCAAAAGCTCTATATAGCACAGTTGTATTGGAGGTCAGTTTTCCAAGAAGAATGACAAAAAGGCAAATGTCAGCAAGATGTTCACTTTATTGATAAATTATCAGAAAAATGCCAGGATCATTAAAGAAAGAGAAAGGGTGGTGGGAAAGAATGGAAAATTCTATATATTTGTCCTCAATTTTATACACTACTGCTGCTTAGCTTGCTTTGGAAGGTCTCCATCTAAACATTAATGTACATGTACTGTATCTGTAGATTGTTGCTGGACCATCCTGGGACACAGCTCCTCTGTCCCCTCTCCTTTTAAAATGCATTGTATGTTGTGTCATACATTGAACTCCAGGATTTAATTAAAAAACTATTATTTGAGATGGCTTGCTGTCCTCAAAGTACTGTTGTGCAAAATGAAAAGAGCAACTAGATCCAGCCACCAGGTATTTTCAGGGTGCCAGGTCTGGAGGGAAAAAAGAAAGAAAAGGACTAATGTTACTATGGGCCATAATCTTCCAAGATATCAGATGCTGCCATTGGCCTTACTATATAAGAATCATTTTTTAATCACAAATATGGCAGTGTAAAAATAAGGGCTTCCCCCAAAGGAGTTAAACTAAGAATAATCCCAATTTTTGAGGACAGCTGATCCACAGATTGAATAGATATATCTGACTGCAGACACAGCTCTCTAATGCAGTGTTTTCCAAACACTGTTCTAATGTATAATTCTTAGTAGTGACATACATCTGCCCTTTGGGATGTAAGGGTTTGGCTTATTAGTCACTCTAGTCCCCATTCCCCAGTGGACTGAAGTTCTTGTTCTGCCAAAGACCAAAATGCGTTGCTCTTATTCCCTCCCTCGTGTCTCCTTTCAGGCCCTGCCATTTCAGAGACACACCCGTCAGCTGGCTCTCCACTGTTCAGTTTCCTTCTCAGGAAATGTTTGCCCTTCTGTGTTTCCGGCAACTGCAGAGCATGTCCATTATAAAGTCACTATACAGTGGAGGAGAGGATGTACTGGAGATACCTCATATTTTGCTTGGGTGACTAGGTAGGCTGTTCTGTGCAAAAAAATTTCATTTTGGGCTTAGAATTCTGGGAGATGACATCCACACATCGTAAAGTTGCCACGTTTGAAAAACACTGCTTTGGAAGAAATTAATAGCATTTTAAAATATATTTATTAAAACAAAACAAAAAAACCACAGAATCATTTAGATGCCGGGTCAGCACTTTGGGAATCTCTGTTGCTCCTGCTGAAGTAAGGAACTGTGACTCCAGAATTTTTTTAATTTTTTTTTTTTAAAGCCAGCTGGGCAGGATGGATAGTAGGAAAATGAGACTGGAAGACCTAGACAGATGAAAAAGAAGGGAAATTCTGTGAAAGACACAACCTGTGGAGAAGCTTTAAATAACAACAATCTTGAAAAATGAATAGCAATCACAGATCTTTCTATTCCCTCTCTCTCTCTCTCTCTCTGTTCAATTACAGGCTGCTTCTGGGGGACTGTCAGGAGTGCCCAAGAAAATGTCAGCTGACAGCTTGTCAACCAAAGCCCTGAAGGTAAGGACATAGCCGTTTGGAAAATCATGTTTCTCTCTGTAATTTTTTGGCAAGCTGGAGGGTCTCCTAAAGATTTCATGTCCTTTCCATAAAACTCTGGTATTCTGCTATAACAGATCGAACATCATGACTTAAATCAGTAATTATTATCTGGCATTAAAAAAACAACAACATCCAGAGTTCTTCTTGGAAGAAAAGTAAACCTTATAGACTCTACAGAATTTGTGCACAATTTATGTACATCTCCTTTCCCCTGAACATCTTTGCAATTATTCTAGCCCCACCTTTCATTTTCCCTCTTCTTTGTGCCCTTACTTCCTTGTTCTCTCTTCCCTCCCTTTCTCCATTTTTTTCTTCTTGCTTGTGTTGTTGTTCACTTTCTCTTTTGGCCTCACCCTCTTTTCACAAATGGTGAACATGTGTGTGGAAATTTGTATGGGATTAAATTATTTCCAATAAATTGATACAGGACTTCTTTTTAAAGAATAGCCAGTCTGTAATTCACACTGTTGCTGAAGCACATAAGGACGCATATTTGCAAATGGTTCTAGCAGCATTGAGCCAAAAGGGGAAGGATGTTCTGTGTCTTTCCTAATGTAATTTTTCTCTCTGAGAGTTATTGCACTGATGTGGCTTTGTTAATGTGAACTATAAATTCTTGCCATACATATTCATAGACAAACACATTTTGGCAAGCTGGCCCCCTTTTAATTTCCTCAGAAATATTTGAAGAACGGCACTTGCTTCTCCATATAAGTATTTTCCCTGCTTGTATCCAAGAAAAGAAACAACAAAAAATTGAAACTATTGCCTCCCCATTCTTAAGATTGTCACATTATTTGTTTAATAGCAATAGCGCTTAGGCTTATATACCACTTCATACTGCTTTACAGTCCTCTCTAAGCGGTTTATAGAGTCAGCATATTGCCCCCAACAATTTGGGTCCTCGTTTTACTGACTTCAGAAGGATGGAAAGTTGAGTCAGAATCGAACTACTGGAGTGAGCAAGCAGTGAGCCTGCGGTACTACATTCTAACCACTACTACACCACAGCTGTTTAAACACAAACCTGGAGGACAGAGGCAACCCATAAAGCCGAGGTGGCACAGTGGGTAGAGTACAGTACTGCAGGCTACTTCAGCTGACTGCTAGGTGCAGTTCAGCAGTTCAAATCTCACCAGCTCAAGGCTGACTCAGCCTTTTAGCCTCATCCTCATCCGAGGTGGGTAAAATGAGGACCCAGATTGTTGTGGGCAATATGCTAACTCTGTAAACCACTTAGAGAGGGATGTGAAGCACTATGAAGCGGTATATAAGTCTAAGTGCTATTGCTATTATTGTGTGCAGGTAAAGTAAGGACTAAAGTAAGGACTGGTGGAAGTGTGTCCTGCTGAGAAGTCACAGAAATTGCCAAGGGAAGCCAGCCCCTCCTTTATATTAGAGTAAAGAAATGCATTCTTCATTGTCAGTCTCTAGCAGTAAGTTTTTTAAAACAAAAATCCAGGGCAGTAATTTTGGGAACTGTATTTACCTGCTTCACTGTTCTAGAAGAGGAAACCAACACATTAATTTAGAACAGATTTTGTATGAAACAGCCAGGGATAGGTATGCTCACCCCAAGGTTTTTTAGGGAGCCAATAATTATTTTCTGGAAGCTGGTGAATTTTGTTAAAAGACCTACAACTAAGCAGCTATTAGGAAATTATGATAATATCATAATGACAATATTCAATTATAACTTTGTTTCTAGCAATGCATGATCTGCAAAGGAACGCTGTGCTTTTGTTTACATGTCTTTGTTTTCTTGACACTATTAGAAATTATCAACTGATTAAACAAAATAGTTTCAAGCAATATGTAGTCTAAGTGTGGAAAGTCAGACTAGATTGGTTTATTTGGCCAAATGGTCATTTCCTTCTAATTATTTAATGCCCCAAAACAATTTGAATAGGAATGGGTATTCCTGCTGTGTTCCTATAAGCTGGAAAAGTCAGGATAATAAAGTATTGATTCACTAACTTTTGCTTAGAAACACCTCAAGGCAGAGAAATTGCAAATTCTGTTCATAAGAAGTGTTTGGAAATTGATCTGGAATTCAGCCAGTAGCATCTGAACTGCAGCAGGAAAATATCACATGGGTCTTACACCAATATTGAGCAATGCTTAGTCAGTGTTATATCATAATCTTGATATTCTCAAAAGCTAACGTCTCAAATACAGTATGTAGTTACTTTCTCCATTGGGAGTTTGGAAACAGATTTTTTCTTCTGTTTCTACATAGTCTGCATAGGATTGCGCTGTAAATGGTCTATGATCCCATAGATAAAGGATTGTATCAAACCAATTTTAAGATTTGCATCCCGGATCCTGCTTTTTCAATGCCCTCTGAATCAGATTTGTCTGATTAATCCCAGAAATGGAGTATCTTCTGCAATGATATCTGGATTGTGAGATCCAATACTAGATATATTCGTGTTGCTCCTTTAGATTTTTTCCTCTGAATCCAAAGAACATTCCATCTTTCAAAAATACTTTATAAGAGAAAAAAAAATGAAATTTACATAAAAACAGTTTCTGTATACTAATTGATGAACTGGATCAAAAGGTTAATACAATGAAGTTATGGGGGAATTACATAAAAGAAATACAACATTTTATATTTGGTTGTAATTTCTGCTGCTGTGAAATAATAACAATGATAAAATTGAAGATTAAAGAAGTCTTTCAAGAAACGAAGTGATGGGAATAAATCCAGACTGAGCTAGTCATACTTTGATCCTACTTATTTAGTTGATGGGTAACTTTTATTGATTCAGTTGACACTGATTTTAAGTACACAACAACTCTACTGAGAAGTAAATTCCATTGAGTTCATTGGCATCAATTCCTGGCTAAATAATTTAAAGATCTTAGTCAAGTTTTCAAATTTCAAAACCTTATAATAAAATCAATTAATTTTATTATGAGGAATTTATAATATAACTATTACAGTATAAGGAGGGAAAACCCTAATTCAAAGAACATTGCAGAAAATATATACAAATGTATATAAATAACAATGCCTACATACTATTGCTACAAACGGTTCCCCTGTTGATGTTGCTTTATTTTTCTAGGCTCCCATTGCTCTTTCCAGTTGTTGTTGTTGTTGTTGTTTTTCCCATACTTGTACATCTGATTCTCAACTATTTGATCCTTTTCTTAAACAGATCAAACGGGAGATGGGTGAGAACACACCACATCTTTCAGATGAGGAGCTTATGGGATTGTCAGTGCGGGAACTTAACCACCATCTGAGAGGCCTGTCCAAGGAGGAGGTAGCAAGATTGAAGCAACGTCGGCGCACTCTGAAGAATCGTGGCTATGCGGCCAGCTGCCGAGTAAAGCGGGTGTGTCAAAAGGAGGAGCTCCAGAAGCAAAAGACAGAGTTAGAAAGGGAAGTTGATAAGCTAGCACGGGAGAATGCTGCCATGCGCCTTGAGCTGGACGCCCTGCGTGGCAAGTATGAAGCGCTGCAGGGCTTTGCCCGCACAGTCACTGCTCATGGCACTGCCGCGAAGGTGGCAACTGCCAGCGTTATCACCATTGTCAAATCTGGTTCCAACCAGGCCACCTACTCCTAGTGCCTACAAGCCGAGCCATGAACTAAGTCCTGTTGCCATGCCTCTGCACAGCTCTTACCTAAAGTGGCTGTAGCTGCACTGGCTCTTTCCTTCTCCCACTTTTGTTCTACCCACTGGAGGAGACACAGTTGACTTGAAGACCAAATGGCTAAATGTTGAACTTTGTCCGTAGTCCTTGCCTTCATTGGAAGATTGTGGGAAAGTGGTGCCCAACTTGTGTGTAATTTTAGCTGTCAGTTATTTGTGAATTGGATTACAGTGGCCAGTTATTTTTCTTTTCCATTTTATATTTGTTAGGTTTTCTTCTCTGCTGCTTCATACCTTACGACTGATTAAATGTAAAACAGAGAGGTTTGAAAATGAGATCTTAGTTGGAAATGCTGCTTCAGAGAAGTTTTGACAGCAATTATAGAGAAAGGCAGATAGCTTCTACCTGATGGGGGGGAAAAGGAGGATGCCAAGATTGAAGTCTCCTTTTAATGTCTAAAACCTAGTGATTATAATAATCCAGATGTTATCAGAGGATATCAATTTCCCAGTTTCTTGGTGCGTTGTTCAGACACAAGTCTAGGTATTCATGTATAACTCTGTCTGCTTTTTGTTGTAAACCATAGTTCCCAGTTACCTACTGTTTAATTCAGAGCCTCTTGATTGCATCAGCATGAAATTGTTGTTTTACAAGAATCAGTCTGAGCCTTTGATGAGTAGACATTTAAATAAGGTCAAGAAAAGTGTCATTGCTTGGTGACTGCAAGGGTGATGGAACAACGGATCACAAAAGGGACATGGTCAAGAAAAGAGCTAGTTGCTGCTAACCCACCCTAGGAAGAATAAAGGAATTATGCCCATTGCAGAGATTGGAGAGACAATCTCTCTGCAACTGTGTGTGGATGCAGCTGTGCTCCAAATACTCTTTTGATTGTAAAAGTGCTCTTTTGCTAAGGTTATAAGATTTATGGACAAAATAGAAGCAGTTTTCTAAAGAGGGAGAAAGAGAGAGAGAGAGAGAGACAAGAAAATGGGAAAAGTAAAGAGGGAGTGTATTAAATGAGGCGGGATGGATAAAGCAAGTGAGACTGATGGACAGTGAAGGGTCATCAGAATTACAAGTGAAGTTCTAGAGAAGACACTGAGGTCTAAAACAATTAGTTCCATGAGGGGTACCAATAGCAACAAACAGAATGTAATGAAGAGACCCTTTTGTATTTTCTTTCTGTTTTTGCATTGGCAAAAGACTAGAAATAGAAACTCAGGAAAGAAATATACCCAACTATTACAGAGATTAAGACATTTTATGTTCAAGAAAACCAAGCTATATGAAGGTTGGCCCAACCTCAAGAAGCATTACAGGCAATTGGGTGTAGGGTTCTGAGGGGTTCAGAATCAGTCCTAATCATAGTGATGGGGTGTAACCCAGCACATCTCTTCCAGTTTCTTTTTTTCCCCAAAAAAGCAAGTTGAGAAAGATCCAGTCACTTATATAGAACACGGAAAAGAGACTTTGGTTGGAAATACATTGGTAAGGAATATAGTTCCTCTGTGCTGTTTTGTGGCCTAATTTTTTCCCCATTCAGCTGTGTAAAATGCAAGATGCATTTCTATTGAGGAAAGTGTAGTAGCTGAAATTCAAAACTCTTTTCTTCTTTACATCTGAAGGATACATTTTCACAAGAGCAGCAAAATAGCTTGAATCGTAGCCAAAAATAATTTCTGTCATGAAAATAAAACCTAGTTTGGTCTAAGCTAGCACAATGGCAGAGTTAGGTTCTCCTGGATGCCACTGTATTTGTCTCTTGTTCTTTTAAGATAATATTCTCATATGCACTTAGTAGGATTTACTGTAAAAACCACACACTTCAATTTTTAAAAATGTTTACAATCACAATCTCACCCCTTTCATTGTAGCAGCTTTTATACCGTCCAGTGGTTTTCATTCTGCCATGTTGGCTGGAAATATGTATTGCAGAGAACACAAACATGGAAAAAAACTGATACCATTCAAAAGCCTAACTTAGTAAACACACAAATTTAAACAGTGTATTGTTTCCCTTTCTCTGCCATGCTGTCATGAATCCCATATGCCATTTAAACCAAGCTGCCTGCATGTACACACAGAATATTAGTAGCATTGGACTTGTAGAATCAGCTATTGATATACTGCCTATCTGTATGCCTTTTTGGCTAAGCAGTTTTAGCCCATTGCCTTCTCATTTTAAAGTGGATATGACATTTTACGTCAAGCATGGATGATATGAGAATAGCACATCTGTACCAAGAGACACTGGCAGCTCCATTGCTTAAGAAACTGGGAAGTTTATACACCTGGGAGACATGGATACAGTAATTCTGTGGAAAGCATGGAGAAGGGTTAGATTAGAAGATTTAGGAAAGTACCTTCTTCCATTAAATATATGTTGCTAACATAAGAACCAGTGAGTATTTGTGGGTAATCATTTCCAGGCATGTGCCAGTGACTTATTTAAGTGGCAAATATGATCCATTTTTAAAAAAGACATATGGTTGGGTTTACCCATCCTGCAGCTTAACGTGACTTCTACCCCTAAGATGGAATCAGCTTCCAAACCAGTGTTGTCCATCCTTCCTCTCCAACCTTTTGATCCTTAGTGGGGATTCCCTCTTTAACGTTTCTCCCCTTGTCACCCTATTTTTCCTTGTTCCTACCCTGTGATTTATTTATTGCACGAATATAAGTTATTTTCACATTCTTTATGCCGTTCTGCCTTGTGGCACGGCCGGGATGTTGGTACAGAGCTGTACTTTATATTTTATATATGCAAATCACATTTTATCTTCTATAGAGCAAGAAAAAAGTACTTATTTATTTTCTGACTTACAGTAAGTGTCCTGCCAGACTCCTCTGTATTTTGTAGAATTTACAAATAAAGCCAGATTTTTTTTCCAAAATGGAGAAACTGAAAATAAGTGATATGTGCTCTTTTCTTGTGAAAATGAAAGGGATTGTGCTGAAGATCTAGGAATCGATTCTGGGAATTTCATTGAAAATGTATAATTATACAGCATTAATTTTATGTCTGCTAGTCATTTGCAGACATAGTAGATAATATGCCATGCATTTTTAGCAGCTTTCAACACTAGGTAAGGTTGGGGGGATAAAAATCTGCTTCTGAGTTACTGGAAGCCACTATTGGGAGTATTTTCCACCTTTTAAGGATGATAGGTTTATTTCTTATTTAAGTGCACCACAAAGTGCTTATGTGATTTGGCAAGACACATTTTTGTGAGAAAGCCAATAAAATTAAAATACTGTAGAAACCATTAGTCCAATCTTAATAAAACATGAAACAGGTCTAAATTTAGGAATACATAATTACTCATTTAAACTACAGTACAATTTTCAACTTTTACAAATACCTTCTGAGGCTAAAGAGAAATAATTTGCTTGCCGTTATTTTGTGGCCAAGGTGAAATCTGAGATCCAAAATACAAACCCAAAATCTTGAACTTATTTTTCTAACCTTCATTCTGTATCCTTCTTTCACAGTTGCACAACCCAAATGCAGCACACAAGGGTCCCTCATCCAAGTTACCCATTTCTCTTTCAGGCTACCTTTAAGTCAGTATGTTTTCACATCCATCTGGATCACACTCAACCCCATGCCCCTTCAGTCATACCTGAGTATAAATACAAACATTTCAATATATATGGACTGCAAATATTCATAGAATGACTAGGTGATAACAGATATTCAGAAGCCCTTCTCATGGTTACTATGCAGAGTTGTTAATACGTCTCACTTTCTGGACACTGAGAGCAAAGTTAGAGTCATTTACTTTTCTTTCCTCTTTTCCGAGGGATGACGGAGCCCCAAAGTCCTGGGGAATAACTGTGGCAGCGACCTGGTGAACACATTTTTCAGGCCACTTTCTAACTATAAATATATGGAGCATTTTACTTGCATAAGACAAGAGGATTACAAATATGTTTTTTGCTCTAGCACAAGTAATTTCATGGTAGATGTTTTGCTCACTGTTTCAAAATGAAGCATTTGTAGCTTTGCTTTATCCTAACACAACAAATACCAATTCACTGTAAACAGAGATTGAATTTTGAATCAAGCCAATACAGAATCTGTAAGGACTGAGGAGCAGCAGTTCCCACGCTAAAGAGACCTTTAGATATTAATATATCTCAGTGACCTCCTAAGGGTATCAAGAAAGCAATCAAATATCTCCTAGCTTCAAAGGGCAGACAGAAAAAGTTTAAACTCTGGAGCATTATATATTTATGAAGGCTGTGACTTCTTGATTTTGTGGTGGATAATCAGCTGTTGTGTTCAGACCTCCTGGTCTGCAATAATAATTCTACCTTAGCTGAGTCACATCCAAGCATCTTCTGTCAAGTGCTGAATAAGATATTAAAAGGTTGAAGGGCAGTGATTTACTGCTGAAGCATAGTGTGAAGTGTGAAGAAGTAAATTGGTTTTCTTATAAACAAACAGGTAAATTCTTGCATACAAATCTCATTGTATATTAAAACATACTAATAATAGAACCATATAAACAGCCTCATCCAGAGCATTTTGTATTTTGAGATGCATTTATTTTAGTTCAGCCCTTTAGTTCAGTAAATGGCACTTGTCCTCAAAAAAAATGTCTGAATGAGATAGTTTTAGAAGGATAAATCAGATCTCACTGATACTGAAGAATGACCATGCATTAATAGACAGGAAGTTTCCTGACTAAACAAAACCACAGTAGTCGCAGCTGTGCACATCTAACCAAAAAAGCAGCAGAAGAAACAAAATTGCAACTGCCATGTGCACAAAAGTATTAAAATAGTGACATGGGGACTCTTGTCATATGCAGACCAATAAGAAATCTGTGCCAGATAAAAGCAGCTCTAAAACAAGATGAATATGGAGCAAAGCAGCTAGAAAGAAACATCTCCTGGAATGTGGTCTACAGGTCAAATTTTGGCAACTGGAGTTGCCTATTCCACATTCCATAGACTTATCATCATTATAAAAAGGTTCCTATTTACATACAGGGGAAAAGCACACACGCACACACACAAACACACACAGCATGGTTACTTAAGGGACTGGTTCTATCAACAGCTCAAAATTAATATTTCTAAGTAAATTGCACTTGGACAATTTAAATGAAACATGACTACAGGAGTCACAGGTCTGAAAAAAAAACTGTGGGACAGAGTGGGAAGGTTTAACAAATTATTTTCTTGGCAAAACCATGTTAAGTAGTATTTACATGTTACCTGGAGCAGTATTTCCTTCACTACCAGTTTGGTACCATATAATATTTTCTGTTTAGGAGTGAAAGACAACCTGCAATCTCTGTATCCTGTATAACATATAATAATGAACGCCAGGCTAAATATCAAAAGTTCACGATAAACTGTAAATTGAATGAATGCATGACTGTAGTGAAACACAGTCCTAATAAGAGAATAGAAAGAGACGCCAATTTTGTCTATGGTTAAGATCCCACAGATGAAGGAGGCCATCTGCATGGAAAATAGATTAAAGATGACCAGCATTTAGTTATTGATTTGTTACAGTTCAAATGCAAGTTTCAAGCCAGTTTGTAAAGAACAAAAATGGTACCAACAGTGTATAAACCATGTTGCAGTTATACAGATTTGTATGAAATGAAACTGAAAATCTTTTCCCTTTGAGACTTGGCTTCCTGGTGTTTTTCCACCAGACTTTGATTTTAGTAGCCTACTAGATGGTATAATTGGAAGCAGTTGTTCAGTCCAACATTGCTACTCAACTGATCTAGGTGTGTATCCTCATTTCTGCCATGGACCAAAAGGAGTAAACTGCAAATCTTTGCTACTGCAGGTAAGAATGACTATTTCTCTTTGGAAAAAAAATATTTTGTATCCCCCAACTCCCTGATTTATACAAAAGCTTCTCGCATACAAAAGCCTGAAGCTATATAAAAAGTGGGTGAAAACAGATGACTGAGTTGTGAGACAAGAGAAATGAAACTATTACAGACAGGCAGATTGTAGTTTACAGAAGGGTTTATCCTAAAAATTACAGATGGAAGCTGCTTTAACTATAAAAGGGCAGTGGGCATGATAACAATTTTTGAACCATCAAGGGCATTCAAAGAAAGCTATAGAGAAATGGAAAAAGCCCCATCGGACCAAGTTTGTTTCATGGTTAAGGGCATCTTTTAATATTGTGAACTGCCCAGAGTTAACCCATGGTAAGAAGGGTAGCCAGTAAATTTGATATATAAATAAAATAAGTAAATCTACACTGGTACTGTTGAAGGAATCTCATTTTGGGAAAGTCATGCATAGAAGCCAGAAATATTCTTCTGAGAAACTTGTTTGTCATAAATAGAATATTTACGGCTTATCTATACTGTGCCGAAGTGGTGGGAGAAGTTAATTAAAATTAAAAAGTTATACCATAAAGCACTTCCTTTGAGAAAGAGTTGTATGCCCTTAGTTTTTCTGCCAGACTATGGGAAGTATCTTTGTAAATCAGTGTACATGAAGTGTGTCTTAAAACTGATACTTTTGTCACTGTGATTTCACAATCTGTCTACAAAAGTTTTGAAAAAATGTTTTATTTCCAACTGCAACCCCAGAAGAAGACCTTATATTGCCTTGGGTATTTTATAGTCAGTTCCAAAATCAGAGGAACAAAATCTAAAATGTATGTATTCTGTGGTCAGACTTTGGACAGGAATATTATCTGAATTAAGCATTGGCTTAATTAACTAATTAATTCCTCAGTTGCCGAGGAATTCTTGGAGTTAAAGTCCACATATCTTAAAGCTGCTGAGGTTGAGAAATACTGGTCTCCCCTAATACTCATCTCTAGGCCAAGAAGCAACTAATGGTCAATGTGTATGTGAAGATTTCATTGCAGAGCCTGACAAAGAAAGAGAAAGCTTAAAGATTCCCCCCATGCAGGTAGTTTTAAAAAGGACCCATTCCATGTGCAGTCCACAGAGCCACAATCGAATACTATACTATACTGCTGCCCAAGGTAAAAATAGAACCAGAGGATAATCCAATGTGAAAGGACTGAGGTAATCAATTAATCAACAGCTTGTTGGTACTCAAGCAAAATGGAAGTGCATTCCTGAAAGCAATAGCATCAGTGGTGGGTTTCAAAAATTTTTACTACTGGTTCTGTGGGCGTGGCTTGGTGGGGGTGGCATGGCTTTGGTGGGTGTCGCTTGGTGGGCATGGCAGGGGAAGGATACTGTAAAATCTCCATTCCCAACCCACTCCAGGGAAAGGTTATTGCAAAATCCCCATTTCCTCCCAATCAGCTGGGACTTGGGAAGCAGAGAATAGATGGGAGCGGGGCCAGTCAGAATTTTTACTACTGGTTCTCTGAACTACTCAAAATTTCCGCTACCAGTTCTCCAGAACTGGTCAGAACCTGCTGAAACCCACCTCTGAATAGCATCATTTTTACAGGTTTGCAAAGAATTCTGAAAAAAATTGCCCTCTTTATAAATAAATAGCAGAGAAATGTTCGCATGAAGTTCAAAGCACTTTTTCTGAATAATTTCAAATCACATTTAGCAATAGCAATAGCACTTAGACTTATATACCGCTTCATAGTGCTTCACAGCCCTCTCTAAGCGGTTTACAGAGTTAGCATATTGCCCCTAACAATCTGGGTCCTCATTTTACCCACCTCGGAAGGATGGAAGGCTGAGTCAACCTTGAGCCAGTGAGATTCGATCTGCTGAACTGCAGCTAACAGTCAGCTGAAGTAGCCTGCAGTACTGCACTCTAACCACTGTGCCACCTCGGCTCTTTACACAGAACTCTACACAGACATTCTTTACACAGAATTCAGACCAGAAAGAACAGAACCAGTTTGTCAAAAAAGAAATGCAGATCCTTTTCTTTACAGTTGATGTTCTTCCACAGTTTGCAGGTGTTTGGATACTCTCAGTGC